TCTCTGTAATTATATGAGATCTAACGTTGAAACCACTTGATCTCACCGGATCTAACGAAGGCCTATCAGCCTGAATGAAATTTTACCAGAAAATTGCATGTGGGGGGGCTAGCTCCCCCATATAATGCCACCTAATATCTGTGTTTTTATGTGAAATATCTCTGTAATTATATGAGATCTAACGTTGAAACCACTTGATCATACCGGATCTAACAAATATCTTCCAAAATAGCTAACTGTTTGGTCAATTTTTTGATAAGGGGGGGCTGATGACGGGTTAGCCCCCCCTGCAAATAACTGTTAATATCTCTATTTCTGTGTGAGATCTAACGCAAACAACAGAGATCTAACCTGATCTAACAAAGATCTAACCAACTGCATTTGTTTTGTTCAAAAATTTTGATATGGGGGGGCTAACCCGGCTGAGGTTTGTTGTTTTGCTGCTTCAGGCACTGGATGTCTGGACTGTGTGCATGGCACTTTGAAATCTGAAGACTACCAAAGAATTCTGGGGTGCAATGTACGACCCAGTGTCAAAAAGTTGGGTCTCCATCAGAGGTCATGGGTCTTACAGCAGGACAATGACCCAAAGCACATGTCAAAAAGCACCCAGAAATGGTTTCAGACAAAGCTCTGGAGTACTGGACTGGCCAGCAATGAGTCCAGATCTAAATCCCATAGAGCACCTGTGGAGAGATCTCAAAACAGCGTTTGGGAAACGGAACCCTTCCAATCTGAGAGACCTGGAGCAGTTGGCGAAAGTAGAGTACTCCAAAATTCCTGTAGAGAGGTGTAAGAAACTCATTGATGGTTACAGGAAGCAATTGATTTCAGTAATTTTTTCCAAGGGCTGTGCTACCAAATAGTAATTGAGGGTGCCAATAATTTTGTCCAGTCCATTTTCTGAGTTTTACGAGGAATGTTTCAAAGTTGGCTATTTTTTTCTTCTCCACTTTTTTGTGTCATACCAAAACAAACAAAATAAATAAACATGAGAATGCATAAACATTTGTAATTGCAACAATTTTCTGCGTACAGTGGTACATTATCTGACAGAAATGCAGGGGTGCCAATATTTTTGGCCATGACTATGTAAAAAAGTTGCATAAAAACTCTTGGAGAATAATTTAACTTTGTTGTTTCCCAAACAGCGTCAAAACTAAAACTAACCCCTAACACCGACTCTTCAGGTTACACATTTGTGTTATTTTCATTTTGTCCATTGCAGTAATCTGCCATGATTGGGATTGTAGTTCACCCTGGTTCTTTGTAACTATTTTTGGAATGCTTGAATGCATGGACCACACAGCAAAGGCAATCCATAATAATTCATACTATTATCAGAGCTCAACATTTCCACTCACCCCCTCGCAATTGGCGAGTGAATATTACGTGGGGGCGAGTGAAAATTAATGGGGGGGGGGCACCACCAGCAGGACCAGGGGGAAAGTGCCGCCACTTCAGCAGCGGCAATCACCCATTCAGTTCTCCCCCCTTCTCTTCTCCTCAGCCACTCTGTAGTTAGCTGCAGCGGCCGAGGAAGAGAAGACAAGGGAGGGAGAATCAGTTCAGCTGTCTGCCTGTCCGCCTCCTCCAGCCACCTGCAGTCTTCCTCCACCCACGTTAGCTGCCATAGGCTGGGAGGAAGACTGCAGAGGTACAATTGGACAGCGTAGGACCTGAAGAGAGGATTCACCTCCGACATGGAGGATTCCTCGCTGCACCCCTCCCCCCCACACACCCACCACGACAGGAAGAAGGCACCTGAATGACATCAACCATGTGCACTATTATTTCTGCCTTACACTGCTGACCTCTGCATTGTGCGTTACATTACTGACCTCGCACTGTGCGTTACATTACTGACCTCTGCGCAGTGTGTTACATTAGTGATCTCTGTACTGTGCGTTACATTACTGACCTCTGTACTTCTGACCTCTGCACTGTACATTACATTACTGACCTCTGTACTGTGCATCATACAGCTGACCTCTGTTCTGTGCGTCACACTGACATCTACACTCTGTACAGGAGGCTTCACCTTGTTACCCCATCAGGAGAGGAAGAGGGGACCTGACTCAGATCAACTGTGCACTGCAAGTCCTTGATTTTTCTGTGTTACATTACTGAACTCTGTACTGCTGACCTCTGTACTCTGCATCACACCACTGGCACTGTTTTTGGCATTACACCACTGATCTCTGTACTCCGCGTCACACTGCTGACCTGGCAGAGTTGAGGCTGGGGCAGGGTAGGGGTTAGGTTGGACAACTGGTAGCGAGTAACTTTTAAGGCCTGACTAGTAGCTCTGGACTTAAAATTTTGAGCCCTGCCATTATAGTACTACGTTTAATTAGGAAACAGTGCTTCACTGCCAAAACAGTGTTGGACCATAGAAGACCCAATATTAGTTTTCTTTTTGTTTAAAACTCATGATAGAGGATACTGCAGTGAAATCACTAAGGCTAACCCGTAGACTGGCCATACCTTTTGGCAGCTTGTTAAAATGTTCCTAAACCCTAAAACAAAACAAAAATTAAATAGAAGCTTAAATACAAGTGTCTCTTTTAGATTGTGTTCCTTTTCTTCTGCAGGCTTGCTTTATTTTTACCTGGTTATCTCACCTTCCTAGGGTGACTGACAACACTCACTAACATGAAAGCTTTTGCAGGAGCAGCGTTGTTAGCACTGCTCATATGTGCAAGAAATACACTGTGCTTTCTAAAGATATATAAATGTTTTCATGAAGGTGTAATTAACATTTAAGCTTTCAAATTGAAGTGAATGAAACCGCTTGTAGCGATCTGTCACACACTTTTTTGATTCTTTTGCTATTAAGAAATGGGAACATATTGAGAAAGAATATGACGGCTTACTGCAGACTGTTTAATCTAGGGAGAGAGAGAGAGAGAGAGAGAGAAAAGAGAGAGAGAGAGAAAAGAGAGAGAGAGAGAGAAAAGAGAGAGAGAGAGAGAAAAGAGA